AGAGGAGAAAAGGTATTAATGAACACCGGAACTCATCCAAGTCTTGGAAACCGATGATGTCCTAACGCACTGCATCCGAGAGAAGAAAAGGTATGATTGAACACCGGAACTCATCCGAGTGTTCGAAAACGAAGATGTCCTAACGCGCCGCATGCGAGAGAAGAAAAGGTATGATTTAACTCCGGAACTCATCCGAGTGTTCGAAAGCGAAGATGTGCTAACGCACTGCATGCGAGATGAGAAAAGGTATGAACGAACACCGGTACACATCCGAGTGTTCGAAACCGAAGATGTCCAAACCCACCGCATGCGAGAGGAGAAAAGGTATTAATGAAGACCGGAACTTATCCGAGTGTTCAAAACCGAAGATGTCCTAACCTACAACATGCGAGAGAAGAAAAGGTATGATTGAACACCGGAACTCATCCGAGTGTTCGAAACCGAAGATGTCCAAACCCACCGCATGCGAGAGGAGAAAAGGTATGAATGAACACCGAAACTCATCCGAGTGTTTGAAACCGAGAATGTCCTAAGGCACCGCATGCGAGAGGAGAAAAGGCATGAATGAACACTGGAGCTCATCCGAGTGTTCGAAAAACGCACCGCATCCGAGAGGAGAAAAGGTATGAAAGAACACCGGAACTCATCCGAGTGTTCGAAACCAAAGATATCCTAACGCACTGCATGCGAGATGAGAAAAGGTATGAATGAACACCAGAACACATCCGAGTGTTCGAAACCGAAGATGTCCTAACGCACCGCATGCGAGAGGAGAAAAGGGACGAATGAACTGCGGAACTCATCCAAGTGTTCGAAACCGAAGAAGTCCTAACGCACCGCATGCAAGAGGAGAAATGGTATGAATGAACACCGGAACTCAATCGAGTGTTCGAAACTGAGGATGACCTAACGCACCGCATCCGAGAGGAGAAAAGGTATGAATGAACACCGGAACTCATCCGAGTGCTCGAAACCCAAGATGTCCTAACCCACTCCATGTGAGAGGAGAAAAGGTAGGAATCCGAGTGTTCGAAACCAAAGATGTCCTAACGCACCGCATGCGAGAGGAGAAAAGGTATGAATGAACACGGGAACTCATCCGAGTGTTCGAAACCTAGGATGTCCTAACGCACTGCATCCGAGAGGAGAAAAGGTATGAATGAACACTGGAACTCATCCGAGTGTTCGAAACCGAAGATATCCTAACGCACTGCATGCGAGTTGAGAAAAGGTATGAATGAACACCAGAACACATCCGAGTGTTCGAAACTGAAGATGTCCTAACCCACCGCATGCGAGAGGAGAAAAGGGATGAATGAAAACCGGAACTCATCCGAGTGTTCGAAACCGAAGAAGTCCTAACGAACCGCATGCGAGAGGAGAAATGGTACGAATGAACACCGGAACTCAATCAAGTGTTTGAAACCGTGGATGTCCGAACGCACTGCTTCCAAGAGGAGAAAAGGTATGAATGAACATCGGAACTCATCCGATATCCCAATCGCAGGATCCGATGCCAGATTGTCACTAGCACCACGAAACCTGACATCAACTCTGTTACGTGTAACAACGAGAGTATCAGGAAGATTTTGGAGCACTTGGTTTCCTTCCTCTACAGATTCTGACCACCTAAGGTTAGGGGGGTCCGGAGTGAAGGCGATCCTCCCCTCATTGAACGTTGTAGGAGCCTTTAGCCTCGCTAGACGATCTGCAACTTCTTGAAACTTTTCCGCTGTAACCATAGATCCCAACTTCAGATCCGCTTGCCTCATGGTTCCCCCTTTACGCGAGGCTTCAAGAGTTTGATCAGAATCAAGATCGCGATCCTTAGGACTACCCTCTAACGGATCCATGTTTTCCAAAGACAACACTTCAAATGAATTTTTCACAAACCCTAAAGCCTCAATAGGTTTGACCAACCCTAAAACTTCCATTTCAGTATTACTTACACGTGCACTAAGGGAGCACTCAGATTTGGTTAGAGCATTAACTCCGATCACCACTCAATGAGATATTGAAAACCCTAGAAACAAGGAGTTTCTAGAGAGATGTGGGAGCTTCTCTCTCTTAATTTGCATCCTAATTCCCTTTGTTTTCTCTAACTTTCTCTCCTACCACTCAAGAAGAAAGTTTTCCTCTAACTCTCTCCGTCCTTCTCCGACCTTCTCCCTTTTGCCCTAGGAATTAATTAGCTTAGGCAACTATTAGTTTCATTAGCCTAAGCGGCCAAGTTTAGCTCAAACCGATCTTTCTTAGCCTCCAAGAAAGAGAATATACGGAGTAATTGTAGCTTAACAATATTACTTTTACCTAAGCAACTCATTTAATGTTTTCTAAATCACCTAAGTGCTCAATTCCCAAGTCCAAAAGGATGAATCTGAATTCGCCTTAATTTTCATCGTATTTCCATTTCCTTTCTCTAACGTTCTCTCTTTTATTGTAGGAACAAGTTAGCTTAGTCATCGTCCTAAGAGGCCAAGTTTCACGCAAACTAATCTTGATTAGCCTCCAAGAAAGAGAGTTTACGGAGTAACTGTAGCTCAACGATATTAGTTTACCTTAAGCAACTCATTTCATGTTTTCTAAATCGCCTAAGTGGTCAGTTCTCAAGCCCAAACGGACGAATTTGAATTCCCGTTAATTTTCATCCCAATTCCCTTTCATATTTCCCTAGCTTTCTCTTTTTCCTCTTGCTCTCTCCGTCCTTCTCTAACCTTCTCCCTTTTGCTCTAGGAACTAATTAGGCTTAGGCAACTATTAGTATCATTACCTTAGGTGGCCAAGTTTAGCTCAAACTAATCTCTCTTAGCCTCCAAGAAAGAGAAATACGGAGTAATTGTAGCTTAACGATATTACTTTTACCTAAGCAACTCATTTAATGTTTTCTAAATCACCTATGTGCTCAATTCCCAAGTCCAAAAGGATGAATCCGAATCCGCCTTACTTTTCATCGTATTTCCATTTCCTTTCTCTAACTTTCTCCTCTACCACTCAGGAAGAAAGATTCGCTCTGGCTCTCTCCGTCCGTCCTTCTAGAACGTTCTCTCTTTTATTGCAGGAACAAATTAATTAGTCATTGTCTTAAGAGGCCAAGCTTCACGCAAACTAGTCTTGATTAGCCTACAAGACTGAGAATATACGGGGTAATTGTAGCTTAACGATATTAGTTTAACTTAAGCAACTCATTTCATGTTTTCTAAATCACCTAAGTGTTCAATTCTCAAGTCCAAACGGATGAATTTGAATTTCCTTTAATTTTCTTCCTAATTCCGAGTGGCTCATTATATAGGAGAGGGTTTGGGTAGTAGGTGAGGAGTAGGTGAGGGTAAATTGGTGGTAGGTGTAGTAGGTGTGGTAGTAGGTGGTGGTAGGTGTAGGTAAATTTTAACATTGTTCATGAACAGTTCGGTTCGTTTGTAACCCTATTTTTGCCATAAGGCTTACATACCTATTTATAATAATCTAAATCTTGGAGACCAAGTATTCTCGGACACCAAGAAATATAAAATTAAAAATAAAATACTAATAATAATAATAGTGATATTAAACTAATCTAATTCTTGAAAAACAAAAAACCTAAGAAATTAGAAAAAAGAAATTAAGACAAATTAAGAAACCTAATTCTAAAATATTTATACTAAATTACAAGAATCCTAATCAAATAATGTACCAAAAATATTAAAACTTAAAATATAAAAATTCCTAAAATCTTATCCTACATCAGACTTGACACAGCGGAAAACGAGCACGGATACGGACACGGACACGGGACATGACACGGACAAGCGAACACACAAATTTTAAAAAAATGCAAGACACGACACGTTGGGGACTCATGCAAAACACATAATTTTAAATATTTATTATGTCATATTTTTAAATATTTAATATTTATTTTTTGTCAAATATTTAATTTTATCAAATTTATCAATCTTATGTATGTTATTTTATTAAAAATAAATTTTAAAAATTTGATTTTTCTTTATAAAAAAAACGTGTCCTCAGCATGTCCCCAACGTGTCCTTAGCATGTCCTAAGTGTCCCAGCATGTCCAACACCTGTACGCCACCTCCGAAGAGGTCTCCATGCTTCATAGATGCTACTTTTATTCCCTCCTACTTTCATTGAACATCCCTCAATTGCATTGTCACGAGATTTCATCCACCAAACTATCTACTTTCCTTGCAATTACCTCTGTTTTGAATACTCAATTCTTTTTTTTTTTTTCTAGAAAATATTCTTCAAGAGATCTTGGAAATAGCTCTAAGATGTGTGTTGCAACTATCCTCACCCATAACAAAGTTTCATAAAGGTGAAATACATGAAATTTTACCATCACAATCTTAAGATGAGTTGCAAAAGAACAGACTGTTACATGGACTTGGGTAGAACTCAACCCCAAAAGCTAACTTAAGAGGTGAGGGTGGCCGCATGCTTATATGCTTAACAATACTTTAGTACTCGGGCAATGTGGGACTTCGCTTTACACCAACATGCTTTCATTCACCAAAGACCCAAAAGAAATTGTGTATACAATTGAAACCTTGCATGTGTAAAAGAGTTAGGTTGAGAGTTGAGAGTCAAACTTACCAAAAATATGCACTCACTTTTGGAGACACAAGCATGTTAAACCTGCTTAAATACAGGGGAACTCACTTAGCAGGCTAACAGAGGGAAGAAAGAATAATGTGGGAACTACAATAAGAAAAGGTCATTAACCCAGTGTTACCCCTAATAATCGAGGTTGTTGGGAGGCTTAGACTGGGTACAAACTTAACCATTAGCATAATTTGCAGAAAGTGACTACCTTCAAACTCAAACCTGTATTCCCAAACTTGGAGACTGAGCTTTTACCATTGCAAGCAAACAGTGTAATGTGACAGAATATATGCTTAACAATACTTTAGTACTCGGGCAATGTGGGACTTCGCTTTACACCAACATGCTTTCATTCACCAAAGACCCAAAAGAAATTTTGTATACAATTGAAACCTTGCATGTGTAAAAGAGTTAGGTTGAGAGTTGAGAGTCAAACTTACCAAAAATACGCACTCACTTTTGGAGACACAAGCATGTTAAACCTGCTTAAATACAGGGGAACTCACTTAGCAGGCTAACAGAGGGAAGAAAGAATAATGTGGGAACTACAATAAGAAAAGGTCATTAACCCAGTGTTACCCCTAATAATCGATGGGAACTACAATAAGAAAAGGTCATTAACCCAGTGTTACCCCTAATAATCGAGGTTGTTGGGAGGCTTAGACTGGGTACAAACTTAACCATTAGCATAATTTGCAGAAAGTGACTACCTTCAAACTCAAACCTGTATTCCCAAACTTGGAGACTGAGCTTTTACCATTGCAAGCAAACAGTGTAATGTGACAGAAGCTGATACAAAATCGTAGCCACCTAATCCACTATCCACCAAAGCCTATCTTCTCCAACAGGTAAAACAAAAACTCACAATCCACATTATCATAGGCCTTCTCAGTATCTAACTTACACATAAAATATAAATATATGTGCTACATACATTTCAGAAAACTCATTCCCATTCAGTTTATTTTCTTTTTAATACTAAAAAGGAAAAAAATGAATTTTTTAACCCAAAAAAAAAAAAAAAAAAAAAACAACCCAAAAAAAAAAAAAAAAAAAAAAATCATTTTTGTCATTTTTCTTGTGCATTAGGTCCTTAAAAACACACAAGACAGCTTTTAGGAGCTTCCTAAAAAGTGTCCATCGTAAGAAATATTTATGAAAGTTTCTCAATCCGCTATACCAAACATGTTTGCAGTCATTCTCCTTTCTTTATGCCATTTCCAAAATCTATTCTAAAATGCCTTGAAGGAGATTAACCAATATAGTCATTCCAGCAATGACGAACAACCACCAGATTGAACAAGTTTCAAATGGTTAAGAAGTGATAAATGACAATATAATATGATAACATGACAAGAACTTTACCAGATGAACTTATTACAACCTTAATAGCAACGTCCTCCCCTGAGGCACGTAGAGTAGCTCGGTAAACTTGACCCAGACTGGCAGCTGCTATAGTTTCTGCGGAAATTTTGCTGAAAACAGCTTCAAGGGGTTGACCCAGTTCCTCTTCTATAATGTTGAAGGCAACCTAAATCATTTTAACCACATGCTGCTTAAAGAAAAGGATTTCCATTCCAGCAAAGTAAGAAAAATGCTCATTAATATACAAGTGAGAAATTTTAGTTTAGTACCTGATTGGGAAAAGGAGGAACATCATCTTGAAGAATACAAAGTTCATTCATATAATCTTCTCTAATAATATCAGATCTATTTGCAAGAACCTGTTTAAAAAACACAAGCAAAATATCCAACCAATAGACAATCAACAACTTAAATCGTATGTTGCTTGCAGTTTGTTTTAAGCAAGACCTGAGCATGAACTAGTAATGTAACATCCTAGGTACTACTGTGTGACATGAGCATATCTATTTTTAAAGAAAATATCTCTAACGAAACTTAGGAACGTCATAGTTACAAAGTATTGAATATGTACACTTCTTTGTTATGAATTGGGAGATAAGGAGGGGACAAGATGGAAGTCTCCTTTTGAGCATAATAAACATATATGTGTTTGCTAAGTCTTAATCAAGGTGTTTAATAGCTTTAATCAAATGTGCTAGATTTAACAAAAGTCAACCCTTCTTGATTCAACACAATTCTTCATCCCAACAAATCAAATTTAGTTGGTGAATGAAGCAACTTGTGATTCTACTATATTTTAGGTAAATAACTGAAGCATCAAGATTTTTTTTTTTAATATTTCTCGTAAAAAAAAATCTATTAATATACAATAGCCTCTGGGCCTTGAGTTGAGGACAAATCAATGGTGACCACAGTTGAATTTTCATGTGGGATGATTGAAATCCTGTATTGGGGTTTGGGTTCTTGACCAAACCCCATTTGCACAATGCTTTGTAGATCATCTTCACACAATGTTGGAAACTGAGGATTTCAAGTTGAGAAAAGGAAAATTAGATGATGAAAAACTTAAAAGGGCTGTGTAGTTGTATTTTAATTTCTATTTCAATGCTAAAAAACATAGAATTGTTTCAGAAAACTCTTTTCAAATTTTTATTTTATTTTTGGGTATTTCCAACTTTTCTTTGTTTTCCTTACTGAAACATGAAATATGAAAATGGAGAAAACAAAGACAACACCAAATTCTTCAGGAATGGGCCAGCATTTGAATACCTATGGAATACCTTGGCCGAATTCATCGACCGGAGGTAATTGCATGCCGTTGTTTTGGCATAATGTGGTGCTTGTATGGCCCCCATTGGAAAGATTAGTATATACTGGTGAAAATTCCTGGGTCTGTTGTCCAAAGAAAGTAGAAGCAGAGGAATCTAATGGGTATGTTTGATGAGGAAAAGAGCCATTAGGCTGAAATACCTGGAATTTTACAACCAATTTTAGAAAAAAAAAAAAAACATCACAATAGATAAAAGAAATTGATTTTACAAGTTTCTATACTCACATCTTTTGACAAGAGACTATCCATGTTAAATTCCAACCTTGGATTCACAGAAGGTAACTTCATTGACAGAAACTACAAAATACAAAATGAATACACAATACCCATTAAGTCATAGAACTCAATTATGCAATCAAAATGAAACCCCATGGTACAGAACAAGTCCTAATTTACCTCGACTTGTCGTTGCAGTGGCTGCGCATAGTTTACAATTTCATCAAGTATAAGTGCTTTTCCATTCACCTACAAGTACAATGGAAAGAAAATTTCCAAGGCCAATTTAGTCATTGCCCAACAATGAATTCAAGCTCTACTATGGCTTAAATTTGTTGCAAAGCATTTTGTTACACACATCTTATTGCAACCTGGCACGAGGTCTTGGAGAAGCTTCATTCTTTCACTGATCTTCTCCCTTTGAACCTGCCCAAATACCGGAAAATCGCAACGTTAATGCTAAGCTTGCCATGGAAGAATTGGAGCGAATGATGAGAGAATTGGGCTGTGATTCTTACTCCAAGGCTATGGCTATCAGTAGCTTGACCCCTTCTTGCTCTTACATGAATGTAGTCCTTTGGGGGCTCGGGAGACTTTTGGTTAGCCTTTGTTTGTTTCTCATCCTCATCCCCTGTTTTAACACTATCATTGTCGCTCCCACTGCCTTCATTGGGTTTGAATCGCTTCGTGTTCGGGTCATCCTCTGCCTCTGCTGCCTGGAAGAACAGAATTGTTAGAATTCTCGACTGAATCAAAGAAAAAAGAAGTTAAAAGAGTGTGTTTTTAATTTTTCTTGGTAATTCATATACCATTGTGGCATTGACAGAATTGGATTTTCCCCTCAAACCTTCTTTTCTTTTCCCGGAATTAGAAGCAATTGGATTTTTCAACACCGCTTCGCCATTTGGGATTTTCTCAGAAACAAAGGAACCCTCATTAGTACTTGCAAATTCAGTTCGATCCGAGGTAGCAGACTCCAAAACTTTCCTGAATTTTGTGTCTGAGCCAATTGACGACCTCATTTCCATTTGGGTTTGTGTTGAATTCGTGTTTTCTTGAGCACCCACGGGAGATACAGCTGCCTTGATAGAAGGACTTCTCGAAACTCTCGGCAACTTCACACTTGCCATCAATGGACTCAATCTATATGGCAATTCACCATTGTTCAAACCCAATTGGCTTGTTCTTCCATTGAAACTCCGACTTCCGAAGCAGGAAAACTTCGCTGCCCTCTCGGCGAACCAAGGATCGGCAGAAAGTGATGGCAGATTGTGCCAAAACACTTCATAATAAGTTATCATCAAGAGAAGAAGAGCTTCGAAGTCGTGTCTGAAGAAAGCTCCGGAGTCGTGTCTGAAGAAGGCGAAGAGGAGCTTCGGAGTCGTCTCTGAAGAGAGCTCTGGAGTCGTGTCTGAAGAGGGAGAATAGGGCCTTCGGATTGGTCTGAAGAATAAGGGTTTTGGGAAAACAAAGTGAAGATGGTTTGTGAGCTGAACATACAATAATCGGTGAACAAAATTGTAACCGGTTGAGAGGGTATTCAATATTTTCAATCAAATTATTTGCTGGTTGAGATTAATTTATAAATATCTAATGGCTTAAAATAAATGTGTACATGATGTGCACTATTTTATTAGGTGCACATCTTAACAGCTCCCATAAACATATTGAAGTATATAATTTAACCCAAATGATCATAGTTGTCATCAAGTGTATGGAATGTAGATAGTGTTAGAAATGGTTTGGAAAAATCTGGGTTTATAACAGATTTTTTTTTAACTTTGGTCTATTATTTAGGTGGGACTCGTGCGTCATTTTTCGCGGGTCAAAGTGGTAACGCATTCTATGCCGGGTTGTGATTCACATGGTATATTTGATTGATCAAAACTATTACCGAGTAAATGAAAAATTGAAGCCAAAGTATGCTCCATGAAAATGGAGTTTTTGTGGAAAATTCTTAAAGGTTTGAATAAGGCTTATCCCACGTTGATTTGGTGGGAAGTTTTGAATGAGCTTATAAGACATAGGATTAGAACTTGGGGTGTGCCCCAAGGGGTACCCAAGTGTTTTAAAGAGAGAGGTTATGGGCAAAATGGGCTAAACCCATTAGACCAAAAAATCACCATACACGCGTGGGTCGTCGCCGATCGGACTAGGCTGGGCATGGGTGTGTTGGGCTTGTTCGGCAAAAAAACATTTGAATTTAATTTTATTTTGTTCAGAAATAAACTGGTCCGAGGGTGTGTTGGGCTTGTTCGGCCAAAAACATTTGAATTTAATTTTATTTTGTTCAGAAATAAACTGGTCCGGTTTTACTGTACATCCAATTTTACTGTACACCCAAACAAGGCCCTTCCCGTTTTTTATCTGTTTGAATTTTGAACCCAACAGATTCAAATCTGTTTAAATTCAAAACCAAACAGGTTTCATACCTGTTCAAACAGGTTTGCACCTGTTTAATTCAAAACCTGCAGCCACCACTACATTTATAAATAGGACAGTCCTCATTCGATGTTAAACACATTTAGAAAATTCGCACTTCACATCTGCAAATTTATTCTTCATTTTGTTACATTTAATTTTTGTGAGAAATAGTATAAACACTAGTGTGTTCTTTAGGAAAATAATTTGTAGTGCTGCTATTGTTTGTAGTTGATCATTTCATCCTGAGAGATAGACGTCCACATTCTGAAAGCACCGTGGAGAGGACGAATCTGTCTTAAGGACACAGTGTTAAACACTAGACTTGATCAGATATTTATTAGAAGAAATTAATCAAGTAAGTTGTTTAATTTATTATTCTGTTTTATTTGTTTATTAAATCAGATTTTAATTTTGGTTTTGTAACAAAATAAAATTTGTTTTTATTTATTTATTTCTATTTCTAGTTTAATTTTGTAATCAAACAAATTCTCTCATTTTCCTTTATTTCTTTATATTCTTATTGTTGTTTAGTACACAACAGAATTTAATCTATTTAAATACAGTGAAGATTGTCCAACAATCTTAAGACAGAATTATTTTTGGTATCTTCATTGTATTTAATTTTCTGTGATTTCAAAAAGACATATTCTGGTTGGAAAAATAAATAGTGATTTATGCTATTTGACAGATAGCAGTAATATACTATCTTTTTTCTATGACAACTAGTAGTAATATACTAGTGTCATTAACAATTGCAGAATATTAATTTTGTGTTATAAAAAATTATTGTGATATTTTATTTTTCTAGTTTTAGTAACAAGGAAAATAAAATTATTTTGTGTTATCAATTATTTTCTAGTTTTAGTAACTAGAAAATTAATTTGTATTTTAATTTTTTCTGATTTTTGTAATCAGAGATTATGGCTACTGCAACTGAAACTGGAAATGGTACTCCAATTGTTACACCAACACCGGTCCCTATCCAGAACCATGTTCATGTACCAATAAATCATGGAGAAAAACGGGAAAAAATTAACGATACTGAGTTTAAGAGATAGCGGTAGAAGATGTTATTCTATCTTACAATTCTTAATTTGGCCCGATTTCTCTATAAAGAGGCTCCAGCACTTAAAGAGGATGAAAGTGATCGGCAAGTTGTTGCCGCTGTAGATGCCTGGAAACATTCAGATTTCCTGTACAGAAGCTACATCCTCAATGACCTTGACAACATGCTGTATAATGTTTACAGTCCTTTGAAGTCAGCAAAAGAATTGTGGGATTCTTTGGAGAAGAAATACAAGACAGATGATGTCGGCACGAAGAAATTTATTATCGGTAAATTTCTGGACTTTGTTATGATAGACTCCCAAACGATAATTTCTCAAGTTCAAAGTTTTTAATTAATTTTGCATGATATTCATTCTGAGGGTATGTCTCTAAGCGAGTCTTTCCAAGTCGCTGCTTTATGAGAAAAGTTACCACCAGCTTGGAAAGATTTCAAAAATTATTTAACACATAAACGCAAAGAGATGACCATGGATGAACTTATTGTAAGACTGAGAATTGAGGAAGATAACCGAAAGGCTGAAAAAATGAATGGGAAAAATCCCATTGAGTCCAAGGCTAATGTGATTGAACAAGTTCACAAACCACATAGCAAAAAGAGGAAGTTTACTGGAGATGGTCGATAGCAACAAGAAATTCAAAGGAAAATGCTATAACTGTGGCAAGACTGGACATCGAGCTTCTGACTGCCACCGCCCTAAGAAGGATCATGGAAGTACAAGCAAGAAGACTACTAATCAGGCCAATGTAACTGAATTAGATTACATCTCTAACGGAGTGAATGACATCAACCTCTCTGCTGTGGTGTCTGAGACTAATCTTGTTGGAAATCCTAAGGAATTGTGGGTTGACACTGGGGCAACTCGTCACATATGTGCGGACAAGAAGATGTTCACTACCTACAATAAGGCTGCAAATGGTGAATAACTTTTCATGGGAAATTCTTCTACTTCTACTGTGGCTGGACAAGGGAACATGATCTTGAAGATAACATCAGGGAAAGAACTGACCCTCAACAACGTACTGCATATACTTGACATCTGAAATAATTTAATTTCTGATTCTTTGTTAAGTAAAAATGATTTTAGGCTTGTTTTTTAGTCTGATAAATTTGTATTAACAAAGAGTGATATGTATGTTGGTAAGGGATACATGAGTGATAGTCTCTTTAAGTTGAATGTAGCGATAGTTGTACCGAAAGTTGCTATGAATAAGAATAATACATCTTTTGCTTATATTCTTGAGTCGAATTTATGGCATGGTAGATTAGGACATGTGAATTTTCATGCTTTGCGTAGATTAATTGGTTTAGATTATATACCAAAGTTTGAAATTAATCCTAATCATAAATGTGAAATTTGTATAGAAGCGAAACTAACTAAGGCTCCATTTAAATCGGTTGAAAGAAAAACCGAACCTCTAGAATTAATTCACACTGATGTATGTGATTTAAAGTTTATTCAAACTAGAGGTGGCAAAAAGTATTTCATAACATTTATCGATGATTGCACAAGATATTGTTATGTTTATTTACTTAGAAGTAAAGATGAAGCCTTAGAAATGTTTAAACTCTACAAAACAGAAATTGAAAATCAACTTGGTAAAACCATTAAAATGGTTAAAAGTGATAGGGGTGGTGAATATGATGCACCATTAAATGAATTTTGTGCACAACATGGCATTATTCACCAAACTACAGCCCCTTATTCTCCACAGCAAAATGAAATTGCTGAAAGGAAGAATAGAACCCTAAAAGAAATGATGAATGCCATGTTACGAAGTTCAGGTTTACCACAGAACTTGTGGGGGGAAGCAATATTGTCTACTAATTATGTTCTTAATAGAATACCCCACAAGAAAACCAAAAGCATTCCTTATGAATTGTGGAAAGGTCGACCACCTTCCTACAAATACTTAAAAGTGTGGGGGTGTTTGGCAAAAGTTGAAGTACCTGTTCCTAAAAAGACTAAAATTGGACCAAAAACAGTAGATTGTGTGTTTATTGGTTATGCTCAGAATAGTAGTGCATATCGGTTTCTGACTTATAAATCAGATATACCTGATATAAATGTGAACACTATTATAGAGTCAAGGAATGCTGTGTTTTTTGAACATGTCTTTCCTTACAAGAAAGGACAGGAATTAAGTTCACAGAAAAGAACTTATGATTGTACACAAAGTCAAAAGACTAATGACAATCAAACACAAGAGACTAGTAATAGTCTCGACCAACAGGATTTAACTAATGATGAACCAAGACGAAGTAAAAGAGCGAGAACATCAAAATCCTTTGGTCCAGATTTTCTGACATACTTGTTAGAAAATGAACCTCAAAGCTTTAAGGCAGCAATGACAGGTCCTGAAGCACCTTTGTGGAAAGAGGCTGTTAATAATGAAATTGAATCCATTATGCAAAATCATACTTGGGAATTGTAGGGGAAAGATGGTGCTTTAGTGGAAAAGTTACCACCAGCTTGGAAAGATTTCAAAAATTATTTAAAACATAAACGCAAAGAGATGACTATGGATGAATTGATTGTAAGATTAAGAATTGAAGAAGATAACCGAAAGGCTGAAAAGAGGAATGGAAAAAAT